AAGGCTTATTAAATTGATACCTCAAAGAAATGAGAGGATCAATATTTTAACAGACAGCAGGAGCGCGCTAGGGGCTCTGACAAACCCGAAGGTGACATCAAAACTGGTCTGGGAATGCCATGAAGAACTGAATGAACTTGCAAACAGAAACAAATTAACTTTGTACTGGATGCCAGGGCATTCAGGAATCACAGGTAATGATAAAGCTGATGAATACGCTAGACGCGGATCATCAACTTCATATATAGGTCCTGAACCAGCTTTGGGGGTACCAAAATCATTGGTAGGAAACCAGATTAGGACATGAACCAATAAGAAGCACATAGAGTACTGGACAAAAGTACCTGGCAACAAACACAGTATTAAGGAACCGTCCGAGAAAAGAACCGGAGAACTACTTCAATATATAGTAGCGATCGGCTGAGAATAATTACAGGGTTACCAACCGGCCATTGTCCGCTTAAAGGATACCTGAATAAAATGAGGTTGTACAACGGAGACCTCAGCTGCAGATTATGCAACAAAGGAATAGAAACAGAAGCACTGAATCACAGGAGACAGGCAATATATGGAGGTACGAAATTACGTCCAGAAGAATATGACGAACATCGAATACGGAACCTGTACAAACCAGTACAGGGAATGAGACTGATGGAATTGGCGTCATGAGAAGATGGGAGAATAAACGCAATAAACCCAAGAGGCTGCAGTGTTTCCTGGACACTTGGACTAAATGGACAAGTCAGAGAGTTCCCAAGGTACCTACGAGGTACCCATTTTGACCCCCATTTTGCCTTTCTAATTTCCTTGTTATATGTCGTTAGAGTAGTTACATGAATCTTTCAGTTACTTAATACTTCAGCTCGATTGAAGAAGCGTCGTTATATTTGTCTCTTTTAGTTCTCAGTGGACAGTTCTCGTGATAGGATGAAATCGCTGCTTCGCGAAATTGCTCCGCTACTGTGCCCATATTATCACAATTGTGAATGGTAATGTATCCGTCTTCGAATTGCGATTAGAAGAAGTTTTCATAACCACTTCTATCAGTAGATTTTTATTCACGATATTCCACTACTGTTTTCATATCTGTTTCAATATTAAAAAGAATATATCTGTGGTCTCAACAAGACAGTTCAGTAGATACAGTCCAGTGACGTATTTTGTTGCTCAGAGCAGGTGAGCTGATTTGAGTCCAATACTTCTTGCCTATTGCCAGTGATAAAAAATGGTTCCGAGCCCTCATTAATCACAGACAACCTTCCCACTAGTATATCCCCCTGAAAAGATTTCAGCTGATTTGCCGTTGATGTGGTAGTCGGATAGTCAAGGTGCAAGATTCCCACCTTGATACACGCGACAACTTTCCCATATGAGGGTTTTTGCACGTCAGCTACACCTGACGATGCCTTAGATCCAACCGTGCAGGGCTTTTTCGCCTCTGGTTTTGGTGAATCATCATTTGAGCGTAAACGTTTGGGTCATGGGTGTTTGTTTCTCCTCCTGAGACGAATTCTGCCGACGCCGCTCAAGAATTTGGTGCAAGGTGGTTCCATGAGATACCCTGCTCATAAGGAGGAGACTCAATCGTTTTTTGGCTGCACCACTAAACCTTTGTTGGGTTTCGTTACTGGATCAGGAGTCGGAGAGTTGTGAAGCTCTCGCTCCTGATCTGAAGTTGCAGAGAGTTAAGTTGGAGTCGTAACCTCGACAACCATCTCCTCTGTAGAGTCAACATTGGAAATATGCGGCATAACGCCGCATTACCGTGCCAAGGCGTTGCTACGACGAGAGAGCGCCCGGTGTCTCGAAGGTTCCGTTAGGGACATCTGATAGGCTCAGTGTTATTCATCCTCTCGGCACTGACACAAACCTTAGGATTAAGCTATGGTAGAGATGCAATTCAGTTAAGGAAAAACTAAACCAACACTGTTTCTGTCATTCTCATATCCAGCGGGGCTACGACGAGGAACAGACATCCGATGGTCGGTTCGCTCTACCCCCACATCCTAAGCCAATGCACTCGCAGAAACAGCGAACACAGTAGTTTAGGCAGTGAAGGATGAACAAAGACGGCCAATCAACTATCTGAATATAAGTTAACTTCGAAATTCACATTAGTTTTGACTGAAAATTATACTCAAATGCTGATAATATAAAAGGTTTTTATAAAAGCTCGATAAAATATCTATCTGATCTTTTCGAACTTTCTCACTTGGAAGACGTGGTATTTTTTTTTCTGAAAGGAGAAAGATAAATTCCAATGTTTCTTTCTGTTTCTTGTGTGTCGAAATGGGCAAACGAAAAAGTTGAACTCGAAAATTTACTGCGTGATATAAACCACTGAAGAGTCCAATTAGTCAGTGACTTGTATTAAAGTTTCGGAAAACAATCCTTTAACGAATTGATGGATGTATAGTCGTTACCTCGTGGTAGGAAATCACAATGAAGAGAATTGAAACTTTCTATGTTTTTTACCACTTCCATTTGTAACTTACGTTACTGCAGTTTCTTCCTGTAAGGACAGTTTCAAACTAATACATTGAACTAACAATGGTTTATTACATTAGCCTCAATGTAGCACCCCTGTAGGTGATAATACAGGTACTTGGCTTGATTGAGTACCTGAATTTAGAATTCACAATGCGGATGTGCTAATTTGTAAACCGGTGAGTAAATTAAATCGAATCATTTAACAGGTCGCACCCGCAATGTTTATGTTTGTGAATTTTGGAAATTTCGACCACATTGTCCCACATAAACACTATCACACTTCGGACACTTGAGCTTATAAACTCCAGATTTCTCCAACTTGTCCACCTTATCTTTGGCATTGAAAAGGAAATCAGATAACCTGTCATGTGATCTGAATGCCACTTTCACATTGTTTTTCTGAAGAAATCCGCAATTATCTCTGTTTTTTTTCCAAAATATATTAGAGTTACCCGTTTCTTGATTTCTGGTTGTTTGACCTGTAAGTGACTTCACGGCTTTGTTTTCTAACTAACTGTTTCTCTATCTCTGTTTCAAGTGTGAACTGAATGTTGCCATTGAGATTATTCATGAGTGTCATAAATTGGTTGGCTGTCGTGAAGTACCTCTGAAACAGGCGAGAATATCGACTACATATCTGTACCCAGGTCGGAATTTACTATTGTGTTCTCCAAGCTATTCATAATTATGTGTGCTAAAAGTGGACCGAGGGGTGAGCCCATTGGCAAACCTGAATCTTGTTTATAAAATTTGTTGTTGAACTGTAGGTAGCTCTGATTTAGGCACACATCGAAAGCTGTTGAAACTTCAAAGGAAGTGATATGGTCTACTTTGGCTTGATCTAATATGTCTAAAATGAGGGGCTTATACTCGTTGTACGGTATGTTGGAGAACATACTCTTCACATCGAATGAGACTAAAATTGAATTATGTGGCGTGGTTTGGTTCCTTATGTTTTCTACTAAAGTCAGTGAATTTTTAATGCTGTGAGGTGGGACAAAATTGGTATGATTTTTGAACAACTTGTTAAGACGTATTCCTAGTTCTCTTACCGGACTATTTATATACGAAACTACATATTTATGAACAGCTTGGAGACCACTATAGTAAATTCCGACCTAGATAAATCACATATTCATTTCTGGTACAGATAGGTGGATGATATTTTTGCCTGTTTCAGAGGTACTATACGACAGCTGAATCAATTAATGACATTCATGAATAATCTCAAAAGCAACATTCAGTTCACACTCGAAACAGAGATAGAGAAACAGATGAGCGATTCTTTCCATCCAGACAGTCATGAATTAGCAGCCTACAATTCAATGTTGCACAGAGCATTCTCACTGCCTTTGTCTGCTAACAATCTAGCTAGGGAAATTGATACAATTACACAGATAGGTCATAATAATGGTTTCAACGCAGATACTATCCAGAAGTTAGTCAGAAAACAAAGCCGTAAATTCAAACAAACAAAACAATGTGGAAGTGGTATTCAAACCACATGTCAGGTTATCTCATTTCCTTTTCAATGCCAAAGATAAGGTGGATAAGTTGAAGGAATCTGGAGTTCATGACCTCAAGTGTCCGGAGTGTTATAGTGTTTATGTGGGACAATGTGTTCGAAATTTCCAATAACGGTATGCTGAACATTAAAGGTCTTTCATACTAGGGAAAAATTAATCGACGTTTTCAAACCATTCCTTTGCATGCATCCACAAGTTCCCGAATCTGAACGATTCGGAAATTTTGCACTATGCAAGGAACGGTTACAAACTCAATTATTTAGAATCGTTGGAAATTCACAAACATAAACATTGCGGGTGCAACCTGTTAAATGATCAAATCGATTTAGTTTACTCACCGGTTTTCAAATCAGCATATCCGCATTGTAAATTATAAATTCACGCACTCAATCAAGCCAAGTACCTGAATTATTACCTACAGGGGTGCTATATAAAGGCTAATGTAATAAACCATTGTTAGTTTAATGTATGAAGATGTCCTTATAGGACAAAACTGCAGTAACGTTAGTTACAAATAAAAGTGGTGAAAAACAGAAAGTTTCAATTCTCTTTTCTTCATTAATCCTTTAACATTCTCAAGACCCAATAAATTCTCTTGTGAAGAACACTTCAATGAGGAGCAAGCATATTTCCTTTGACAAACGTCAAAATAATGAATATCAATTTTTGATTTATTAAAAATATATCTACTTCTCTTTCTTGGCAAGAATTTAAACAAGTCCACGTTGTAGATTATTGAGAATGTAACATCCGGCCCTGTTCAACGAATCATCACATCATCCCACCAAAAAATTTAAAATATCTATTTTTCTTCGAACGGTATCTTCACGTTTGAATTCATTAATATCGTTGATAGTTTGAAGTTTTCGCAGATGTCTCTCGATTGTTGTAAATATGAACACTTCCGTTTAACAGATCTATTTAGGAATTAATAGCTTCCAAGAAAGATGCTGACTTTTCTTTAAATAGTGCCGTTGTAGTATTTTAAGTCTTTAAAATAGTCTCAAAAAGTGCAAAAAATCTTGTCAAACATAAGCCTTTCGACAGCCAGCGCACTTCAGTGTGAAGGAGTAATTGATGAAAGTGTTCGTCATTTTCTTCACACAGCATCGCAAATAATCGCGTATTCAACGCGTTGCTTCGGATTCGGTTTACTGCATCAATGACTAAATGAAGTGAATCATGCAATCTAACACTCAAATTTTCAGCAACTAAATGTTGTCGATGGATGAGGCAATGTATTGCTAACACCCCTGACACATTTTGTGTTAAATAGCTTATAAATCCATGATAACGTCCAACCATGGCAGGTGCTCCATCTATAGCTACTGACATTATATTTGATAAAGGAATTGCTTTTTCAATGAAGTAATCCTTCAAAACATGAAATATTGATTCACCTTCAGTGTCGGTTATCAAAGTTTTTGCTACGAGCAGTTCTTCGTAGATTTCTTGATTCATAATAAAACGAACATATGCCAATAATAATGCTGCATTATCAGGTAAAGTTGACTCGTCCAGTTGTATAGAGAAATGGGTCGTTTGCAAATAATTACATAAGAAGCTTTCAATACCAGAACTCATTTCATCAATACGTCTTTCAACAGTATTGTTGCTTAAGGGAATTCTTTTAATGATATCAGATGCAGGTTTGTGTAAAACAGTTTTTAAAACCTCTTCAACGGCTGGCAAAATTAACTTCTCTCCGATAGTATGCGGTTTTCCGGATTTTGCTATAAGTAACGAGATATTGTAAGACGCCCGCAAACCATCATCATTTCTTTGTGACGTCGAAGCGAACATTCTGTCCAGTGTTGTAGGTCTCTTCTGAAATTTATCTTTGAGTGTTTGAAAATATTTCAAATATTTCTCTGTTTTATCAGGTTGGCATCTTCTCAGTTGATCTTGCAGTTTAGATGGTTTCATAGCGTCATTGCCCAAAACTTTGTTGCATAAAAGGCACATAGGCGATTGTTTGTCCGGCAATGATGGAATGAAGCCAAATTTCAAATAATAAACACTGTACTGTCTACATTTCTTTTTAGATTCGGAGATGGCATCAGTCATCTGTGGGCAAAATTAAATTATTTAAATAAGACAGAAAATCCAGCAGCTGTATATTAAACATATTTTTTGATTTTTCCGAAAACATTCGAACATCTTCTTGCAACAATTAGCTCGAATTACGGAGATTGCACTGTAATTTTAATACCGATTGCTAAAACTTTCAAAAAGAAACTATTGAGGAGTACTCGTGTAATTTTGCATGATTGAATATTAAACTACTAATAACTAAAGTCATGATTGGCGTAATTTATCTATCTTTGCTAACTACGAGTACAAAACTCCAGCACTGTCAAACAAAATAACACTGACTCACTATAATTTGTGTGATATACTATCTGTTTAATATTTTTTTAAATATTTTCTTAGCACTTTCCTTTTCAAGATTCAGGAAACGAATAAACGTATTTGTCCCACATTCGTATTTATACAGTGACGAATTGAACAAGTCAGTGCAAGGTAGCGAAGCTCTGAGACTGCGACTTTTAGGTTTTTACAAGTTCAAAATGTATTGCGACCACAAAGCGAATACCAACATCCTACAACTTACACAGTTTTATAAACATATATAATAAATATTTTACTCCATAGATACTTTTATAAATAATGTATATGTTTTGATATAATAAGATCGTATGATGTAAGTAAATAGGTACTATTAGTGAATGTGTTGAGATCCACTATCGTGGACCCCCATTTTCATTTCATGGACCCCCAAATTTTTTTTCGCTGACGTAGACCCCTAGGAGTCGATACAGACCACTTTGGGAATCACTGCAATAGAGAATCACAGGCCTGCAATTGGAGTATTCCTTGATCTTGCAAAGGCCTTCGACACTGTGGACCATACTCAGCTGTTGGAGGCCTTGCAAGATGTGGGAGTTCGTGGAAATGTTTATAGTATATTTGAATCATACTTGAAAGTCCGCCGGCAATGCGTAAAAATAGATGGTAATGTGAGCAAGGAAAGGGTAGTACAGTGTGGAGTACCACAAGGGACGGTTTTAGGACCGATACTATTCATTATTTACATCAATAGCTTATTAACTTCACAAACCTCTGGCGAAATCATAAGTTATGCTGACGATACTGTGATTTTTTATTCTGATGAAACATGGATTGACCTCAAAGTTGAAATTGAACAAGAACTAAACACAATCATGGACTGGTTCAACCATAAATTGTCAACTATAAATTTTGATAAAACTAAATTTCTGCTATCACAAGTTATATAAACAGTTTACCCAACTACAAATTTCTAGAAGGGAAGAACCATAGCAATATTCTGAGAGTTAAGTCTACTGAAAATGTTGAATATTTAGGGATTGAAATGGTCTGTCATTTACGTTGGGATTTTCATATAGATAGTGTCACTAGTACTCTGAGAACTTTACTAGGGAGATTCCAATACATGAGCAACATATTAACCTTATCCTTTCTAAAAATACTATATTTTGCATCAACTGAATTCCGATTTTCGTATGAGATTTTGGGTTGGGTGGCTGCATCAAAAATTGCAAGTTATGTTAAAACTTTTCTTAAAAATTATGCTCCTTAAAAAAAGAACCTATTCGTCTGATCTCCTATTTAAAGAAATTGAAATGCTAGATCTGAGACAATTATATTTTTTCAAGCTTGATTATATGTCGCATAGATATCTCACGAGAGCAAAGGACTCCAACAAACTCAAAATTCCAATTGCCAGGAAAACGATGGGTCAAAAATGTCAAGCATTCCTGGCCCCACGATTTTTTAGTTACCTAGCAAGAGAAATTGTCGAATCATACTCTCTTTTTCAATTAAAAAAAGTACGGCATTTTATACTTTCCATAGGAAGAAGCGCTATTCTATAATTGTTCGAATAATGAATATGTATCCAATGTTTCTTCACATTACTTTGCATCTGAAATTCGAAATTCATTTGTATGATAAATTTGTTCATCAGTAAATTATTGTATTCTCGTTGAATCATTGTATTTGATTTTTGTATATAGGTAAATATTTGTATGGGTGTGCATATGTATGTGTGTATATATATGTAATTTATTTTATTGGGGTATTATACTCGTTACACTAGATTTTTCAAGAGTTACACCTTCTTATTAGGAATCACACGTTCAAAGGTAGGACCTCGTTAATCCTTAGCTCGCAAAAGTTTCGACTTTTGAGGGTTGTCGTTCATAGGGGTGCGACAGCTGGTTAACGGAAAACAGATTTTAAACAGTTTTTTTTTAAACAGTTAGCATTAAGTAACTTGGTAACTACTAATTTTCCAACACATATGTACACCTCTTAGAATAATGTTTAAAGATCAGAAATACATAAACTCAATACGACGGACAGCTTCGGCTTTGTGGAATTATTGTTTATTGTAGTTTCAAGGAATGCTATATTTATGTACATTGTTAATATTGTCAACAAGAGACTGCTAATAAACTTATTATTATTATAAGCGTTTGGATCATTTGCTAGCTGTAGCTCTTTTCTGTTATAACATGTTCCATATATTCTCGCCGTTTTTCGGAATCCACATTTTTTCGGGTCTCCTTAAAGAATATTTCAACATCTTTCATTTTATAAGTCGTGTTTCGTCTTCAATGAATTTAAGTTCGCAATGATACCGGGGCAGACCTCATGGCTTGGGCTACCTATTGGGCGCGTTCCGAGGTGGCGGATAGGGGAACGGCCAATGTAGTCTTACAGACGGCGTCGCAGGACTCCTGGTCAATGGCAGAAATGAATAGGGTGAGGGGAACTAAAACCTTTGCAAAACATGCCACCGTGGACCAGCTTACCCAAGCTAAGGTGTAAGGAATCGTGCCGACAGCTGAATTGCCGCAGGGTGATGTGGTCAGGAACGACCTCCTTGGGGAACTGGGCAAAACCCCATTGTAATCAGCCTACCTCTGGTGATGAACAGAAATGTCCACCCTAATCTACCGCTTGAAACGGGGCTGGACATAGCAGATCACCTCCAACAGTAAGGGCACTATCTGCGGCGGCTGTCAAGAGCTCCGCCTTGAATATAGGCAAGGAACCGGCTGCCCCTGCAGGAAAGCTTTATCACTTGTGCACTTCCACGAAAGGAACCCCAAGAAGGTTGCAGAAGCCGCGCAATGACAGTGATATCGCTGCACCTTCCAAAACCTTCGCGGAGGCCACCGTGAAACACCTCAAGGTTGCCAAAGAGAGTGTGTGTTCGGCGAGTCTTGGCCTACACCTGCCAATATAAAGGAGATGTCTCCTAGTGACCTG